TCACCTCAGCCTCCCAAAGGCGCGGGATTACAGGCTGAGCCACCGAGCCCGGCTAATCCTCAACATTTTCACTACTTTCCAGGCCTGAGAATCTTCTCTTCAAAAGACATTTGTTGAGCACCTGTTCTGAAGCAAGGACTGTGCCAGGGGCCTGGGACACAAAGTTAGTAAGCATGCTTCTTGTCCCAGAGAGCTCACAATCCTGTAGGAGAGACTGACACGAACCTATGGAACTTTAATACTGTGTGATCAATACTATGTTAGCAGGATGAACAAAATGCTTTAAGAACACAGAGAAAGGGCCGGGTGTGGTGGTTCAAGCCTGTAATCCTGATACTTTGGGAGGTCGAGGCAAGAGGATTCCCTGAGTTCAGGGGTTTGAGACCAACTTGGACAACTTGGTGAGACCTCTTCTCTACAGTAAATCTAAAAATTAGCTAAGCATGGTGGGGCACGCCTGTGGTTCCAGCTACTTGGAAGGCTGAGGTGGAAGCATAGTGTGAGCCCAGCAAGTCAAAGCTGTGGTGGCCATAAACATGCCACTGAACTCCAGCCTGGGCGACAGAGTGAAACTCCAACTCAAAAAAACAAAAAAACCCAAACAAAACAAAAAGAACACAGAGGAAAGAGAGTTGAACTGGGAAGTGGGGGTGGGAGTGCTTTTGACAGTCGGCGAGGGCTCAGTGACATTGTGACTGAAGAGCTAACTTTACCAGACGCTGTTAGATATTTAATGACACTCAGTCATAAGGGGTTTTTTTGTTTGAGTTGGAGTCTCACTCTGTCACCCAGGCTGGAGTGCAGTGTCACACTCATGGCCACCGCAGCCTTGACCTGCTGGGCTCAGGCAATCCTTCCACCTCAGCCTACCAAGTAGCTAGAATTACAGGTATGCGCTACCATGCCCAGCTAATTTTTTGATTTATTGTAGAGACAAGGTCTCACCAAGCTGCCCTGGCTGGTCTCGAACCCCCAAACTCAGGCAATCCTCTAGCCTTGGCCTCCCAAAGTGCTGGGATTAGAGGCTTGAGCCACTACACCCAGTTATAAGGTTTAAAAAAAATGAAAGAGAATTTGTTTTTTAAAAATCAGCCAAAGCCAAGTTTAGAAGATATAGTTACTAATGGGGTGTGTATGTGTAGAATTCAAGTAGGATCAGAGGTGAAACTGATGGCTAAGAGACAGGGCTGCCCCTGCTGCCAGCACTCCCTAATATCACTTGCTGGAGCGGGAAGCCGTGGCAGATATTGTCATCCCCACTGCCTCCAGAGAGGGAAACAGGGTAGAAGGCCTGCCACACCCACCCCTACCAAAGGGACAGACCCCTTTGTTCTGTGTGGTCAGAGCCAACTGGAGGGATACCTGCCTCAATACCAGCAACCTCTAAACCTTTGGTCTGCTCAAAAGGTTAGGCTAGTCAGGTACAGTGGCTCACACCTGCAATCCCAGCACTTTGGGAGGTGGAGGCAAGAGGACTGCCTGAGCCCAGGGGTTCGAGACCAGCCTGGGCAACTTGATAAGACCTCGTCTCTACAATAAACTAGAAAATTAGGTGGGTACGGTAGCGTGTGCCTATGGTTCCAGCTACTTGGAAGGCTGAGGCAGAAAGATCACCTGAACCCAGCAGGTTGAGGTTGCGGTGGCCGTGAGTGTGACACTGCACTCCAGTCTGGGTGACAGAGTGAGACTACTACTCAAAAAGAAAAAAAAAAAGGCATGGTGACTCATGCCTATAATCTCAACACTTTGGGAGGCCAAGGTGGGAGGATTGCTTGTGCCTAGGAATTCGAGATCAGCCTAGGCAACATAATGAGACCTTGTTTACAAAAAAAACTAAAAAAATTAGCTGGCTGTGATGGCATGAGGTAGTGGGAGGACCACCTGAGCCCAGAAGGTCGAGGCTACAGTGAGCCATGATTATGTCATTGCACTCCAGTCTGAGGGACAGAGAGCGACTTTGACTCAAAAAAAAAAAAAAAAAAAATAGGTTGGCTCAATCAGAATTCCCTCTAAGCACGGAGAACTTAAAGAGGAGGCTTGTAATATAAGTGGTAGGGTTGGGGAACTTTGGAGAGTGACAGGAGGGCAGCAAGCACAGTAAAATATGGCAAAACAGGGCTATGAAGAAGGAAAGCTTGCAGAAACAAAGGAAAGCAGTTGGCAGGGAGAGGAGAGTGTGATGGGAGAGACCCAAAGAGACAGGGAGGCAATTAGTAATGCCTACATTCCTAAGATCTCTAACTCCTGGCCATATGAATCCTGTCAATAACTCTCCCCCTTTTTTGGCAGTATCCTGAATGGGCCTCTGTCCTCTGACCCTGTCCACAAACACATGTACAGCCCAAGAAAGAAGAAAGGAGGGATCAGAAAACTGGGGATGCCCCATGATGGCAATCATGGCCACCAGCTAGAGCCCCTTCAAGGCATCTTACTTTGCTGTTTCTCTTTCCAACAACTCGTCTGGATGTAATCGATGTAATCCTTCTCTATTGTCTTCTCTAGGTCACGCAGAGAAGCTCCTCTGTAGGCCTTGTCAAAGTGTTTATCCACAAAGTAAGGCACCTGCAGGTTCTGAGTTTCTCTAGAAATGGTGTAGCCCAAGGTCCTGAAACAAAGAGACAGAGGCTCATGTGAGCTTGTAGTATTTGGCAATATTACTCTTAGCACTGGCCTCACAGATAACACTATCACAGTCACCTCTTCATGGGCAGATGCAGATTTTCTAGTACACTCGACAATTATTATTTCCCTGGCAAAGTGGTAAGTATAACATCATAATAATATGTGTATGTGTGTATATAAAGCATCATCATAGTTGATTAATATATACACATATAGTCGGGCTTGGTGGCTCAGCCTGTAATCCCGCGCCTTTGGGAGGCTGAGGGGAGTGGATTGCCTGAGCCCGTGGGTTCGAGACCCACCTGGGCAAGCGAGACCTCATCTCTACAATATTTCTTAAAAATTAACCGGGCATGGTAGCGCGCGCCTGTAATTCCGGCTACTTGGAAGCTGAGGCGGAAG